TGTGTATAAGAGACAGCCTTATGATCGTTTATAATAAACGTTATTTGATAAATTAAAAGCGCGTTCACCAAATTAATTGTTCCTGCTTCGTACCTACATGCCTTGCGCATCACACACATCGCTTTTCGAGGAAAACAGGAAGACGTAAGACCGAGCAGCGTATCCGAAGGAAGGACGTCCGACGGCAGCTTTCAAAAAAATACCTTCCTTGTTCCTGAGGTCAAACAAGGTGGCGACCAAAAAAGTAAGATAATTCTATTGAAAACATACACGGTTTATTAATTAGTAAAGTCGGTACTCGCCTATTAAAGTTTTGAGCAGTAAAGTAAAGTAAAATTTGCAAGAATCACGAAAAAACGAGTTAGAAGGGCCTGCGAAAATTGAGGGCTTCGTGATTCGTTGTCCGATAGCCGAAATAGCGATACGCGTAATTCGATCTTTTCGTTGCGTTGAACCGAAGTCCGGTTACAGAGAACATAGGGCAGAAATTGATAATTTTCTCGTCTTTAATAGAATAACGCTGGAAATTGAGAAGCGATTTGATAAATTCATTCAGCAGCAATTGAAACGTCCGCAAACCTCAATTTCTGGCGACCGTGACAGGACTCGTACGTGAGCTTCTTGTCAAATTAATGAAATTAATGAATTTCATTGTCCGACGGAAAACGAGACAGAATCCGTTCGTGAATTTATTGTCAGATTGATAAATTGAGCTGTTAGCATTGTCCGACGGGACGACGAAACAGGATTCGTACCCGAAATCTTGTTAAATGATTAATTAAATATTACGGATTATTCCGGGAACGCGAATTGTTAGATTAACAACGCGAAAAAAGTATTAAAAGATAGAGTCGTACAGAAATTTGAGTGTTAATTGGTAACCGGCATAAAGATTTGCTTTTGATTAAAGGAATTTATTTCTGAGCGAGATAAAACCGACGTTGCTTGTCCAATTAACTTTGTTGCATGCGTATTTGCATGATTCTGATATCTGATTTTCATGTAAAGTGTATAATTTACTGCGTGAAAATATTCTAAGGCAGAAATATAAAGTAGAAGCGTTTGCGAACATTGTTTTTGCAATACGGAATTGTTTGACAAGCCAGAGATATTGAAAAGTGTTAAAGATAAATAACCGCGAGTGAATTAAAGTAGATTTATGTATTGTTTTACTTCCGTTCCACGTATTACGAGGACGAGTTGTAATTACAGTACATCGCGTATGTAGAATCAGCGCGAATTAAAGATAAAGTCAGTGTTTGATGAGAAAATTAAGTAAAGTCAGTGAAAAGACGTTTTAATAATTGAAAAGGGCTTAGGCCTAAACAGATCTCTGCGCAAATTTTTTTCAAAAATTAAAAAACAATATTTTCGCATGTCGAAAAATTTTCATTGCATATTTGAACTTTCTAAAAAATAAAAAGGGCTTAGGCCGAAACAAACCTCTGCGAAAAATTTTTTAAGAATCCGGATACTTAGAAAAATTTCGGATATTGATTAATTTACATCGAAAGAACTTAGAATAATTTACGGACATAGAGTTAAGTCAGATTGACAGCTCAGCGAGGTAAAACATTAAACAGAACTTATTCTGAGAGTACCTACGCTTGATTTATATTGATTTACGTTGAGATACAACGATTTAAGAATTTTAATTAAAGAATATTGTCCGATTTTCAGTATTGAACGAACTAAAATTAAGAAATTGCGTTTGCATAAAGGAATCCCTGCGCAAAAATTTTTTAACGTTGAAAAACTTGGAAAATTTTTATTTCATTGAAATTTTACATTGCAGATTTACACTCAGTAAAAAGTTAAATTGGCTTTAGCCTAAACAAACCCCTGCGCAAATTTTTTTGGGATTTAAAGACTTAGAAAATTTTGTACAAGCAAAAGGCGAAAAATTTATAAGTACTTAAGTGAAAATTCGAAAAATAATCGGAACATTCAGAGATCCATCTAGCACGAAAGAGCGAACAAATAGCTACTTAAAAATATAAAAATTAAAATTGATTACATTGTATTTTGCTGAAAAATAGCATTTTAAAGATAAATTTTAAAAGGTCATCGAAATGATTGATTCTTTTTTTATAATAACGCTTATGTGAATGGCAGCAGTCATATTTTGTCCAATTTGCCAGTACATAATTGACATTTTGGCATTTATTCGCGACTTTCTGGATCGTTACATACCGGAAGCGTAGAGCACATTGCACAGTGGGAGAGCCCTTTAGCTTACGCTTACCGCGCGAAAGAAAATTAACGAAAACAAATTAATTAAAGCTAAAAATAGATAAAATCGAGAACAGCGCGATACATTGACGCGTGATAAGGTGTTTTCAGTACACAGACATCAAGAAATAACAATAATTATACCCTAAAAGTGTCTGAACACATCGTTTCGAGTACTTGAAGAGCCGGTGACGTAGCTCTGACGTCACACGGTTTGCGCGCGAAGACGCGTAGCAAAAGTTTTGTCCGAAAGCAGTAAGCGAATGGTTAGATAAAAGAGAGGCCGGAAAACTATTGACCGACCGACATATTTAGTGAGAACGGACATTTTGAGTTGGTGCGGACATCTTGAGTTGATGTCGACATCTTTAATTGATTGATTTGTTTATCGACACCCTATGATACTGTAAGAGAGAGAGAGAGAGTTGCATGTCGGTATAATAATTTTCTGCGTTCGCGTTGACGTAAGATGGCACTGCCTCTGCATTGTGTGGCGCTCCGTATGTCTGCTAGTCGTTGCGTATTGGTCCGCTTGTCTATGCCTGCGTGCGATTGGCTGTATCGAGAAGAGAGTGTGTGATTGGCTGTGACAGCCGAGAGAGTGCTCGAGGAAGAAGCCGGAAGCATGTGCCCGGTCTTTCGTATCCGGTCGTCGAGGCTTACGCCTCGCAGTATATCGCGTGTGTAATAAAAGTGATTTCTGACCCGAACACGTATCGCCTTAATCTCTTCTGTTTGCCTCCTCCCTTCCGGTTGAGTCTTGTGCCCTCTCGTACCGCTGTCTAGAATCCTTTCCTGACAATTCATTCTAGTTTCCTTTCCAAAGCTGTTTGACCGACTCTAGCAAATCTATCTTACAGCTAATAAATCTCAGAAGTGGGATAAAGGGCTCCTTGATAAAGAATTCCTTGAGAAAGAATTCTTTGATAAAGAGATTTCGGATAAAAGGCTACGTGTCTGTTCGTGCGGTATCATTCACGCGAGTTCGAAAGTGCGGTTATTTCGGTAGCCGGCATTTCATCAAACGACCGCCATTTTGTCTTGTTGCTAAGTGCGTGCTTCGTGTACGTTTCCCGCCGTTTTGTGTTTCTGGAATCTTCCAGAAAGAAAGACTTCTCTTCCGCGCACGCGCGACCGCGCATTCGCTGATCTACACCGATCGAGTGTTCAAGTTTAAGAAAAAGAGAGGAACAACGATGGATGAGCTACGGGCAAGATTAGATACGCTCACTCTTGAGCAGTTGAGCGAAGAATTGAAGAAAATGGATCTTTCGCCACTTAATACAAGAGAACGTTGCATCGACGCGATCATGTCGCACTATGAGCGTCATCAGAAAGATATTGAGAACACTTCCACCGTGAATAGAATTCACAGTTTGTCGAACGAAGTGCAAGGTCCGTCACAAGTGCCTCAAGCAGGATCGCAAGATATGTTACAACAGATCTTGGTGTTGTTGACACGCCTCGTCAATCAACCATCAGTGAACAGTGTTGAGTCGCCACAAAGGGCAGCATCAGTTCCCGCTGCTGCGGACGCGCGCTACATTCCTTCGTGTGCCGGTCCGTATACAGCGTCGTATGTGCCGCCCCCCGGGTTTAGTTATCCGTCGCTAATTGGTTTTGGGGAACAATCGTCTCCTGTGCCCGCCGGTGGAAATTATCCTCTTAATCCACCTCAGCAAGTTCCGTCGGGACATGTAAATTCACGTCGCCCGGATCTAGCTACCGTGCCGACGTCGCAGGCTGTTACCCTGTTAGCCTCTCAGATTCCCGCCTTTCACGGATCTGAGGATGATGATGTGGAGCTATGGCTTTACAAGATTGAGAGAGTCGCGACAATTCATGGTGTTTCCAACAGTGTCAAATTATTGGCAGCAACAACGAAGCTGCAGAAGATGGCAAGAGAGTGGTTCGACGTAGATGTCGAGCTTGTAAATGAATCGTGGGAAGCATTCAAGTGGGCGATCTCTCAACGTTTTAAAAGAAGAATTACTTACCAAGAAACCATGCAAAAAGTGGACTCCAGGAAGTGGGACCACGGAAAGGAAAGTTTTCAAGAATATGTCACGCAAAAAATGAAGCTTCTCCATCCCTTACGGCTTCCTCCACGGGAAGTAATACAGTTTCTCGTGAGTGGTATAACAAACTTTGCTATTCGAAGCACTGCCGCTTCGCTAAATGTAGATTCGGTTAACGAATTCCTCGACCGAATGCACAACATAACAAAAGCAGCCGGTTCGGGAGGGAAAAGATCTTCGCCTGTGTTGCCGAGAAAGGACAAGACTCGTGACATTAAGGAGTCGTCAACTTCAAAGGACTCAACTGAGAAAAAACCTTCTCCATCTAAGTTTTCCAAGGACATTACATGCGCTTACTGCAAAATCAGGGGGCATGTAAAGGCCGATTGTTATAGACTGAAACGAAAAGACCAGTCTACCTCTGCTGTTCATCCGACACCGACCTCTACTTCTGGTTCATCTGTGGGGGCAACGGAGGATGTGCCGTCTACTGTTCTTTCACCGTCGCAGGATGATTCTCCGGTCGTTGGCTGTGTCAGCGGGGATCAGCGGCGTCAATTAGAGATAAGTAATCAAATAGTGGAAATTGTTTCTTTGAACGGTGTACAATGTAGTCTACACGCGTTATTGGATACGGGTAGTCCGGTATCGTTTATTAGAGATTCTGTTTACAAAATGTTTTTCGGTCAAAATGTTAAATTTGATGAGTCAAAAGCGGTAAAGTTCCGTACATTAAGCGATTCAAGGATTAATGTCATAGATATTAAGAAAGTGACGATTGGTTTATCTTTATTGCCTAATCTGTCTCTTAATTCGACGTTGCACATAATAAAAAATGAGAGTTGGCCTACTCATGTAGTACTGGGCAGAGATTTTCTATCCGAGAATAAATTAACTCTGTTGTATAATCCGTCAGACTCAAATGCTCAGGAATGTTTGCAATTGATAAAGGAAGTAGCTTCAGCAGATGTGCTACAGGAAGACATTAAAGATGAACCTATTGTAGATACTTTAAGTATTGAGACTGATTGCGGTCCAACTGTGGACGCGCAAGTTTGTAATCTTATTAGAACGGTTAAAAATACACCGACAGAAAAAGTTCACAATCGTTATTGCGTATCGGTAGCTCTTAAAGATGCGTCAATTTATGCGTTTGCTCCGCGCCGTTTTGCGTATGCGGAACGCGAGCAACTTCGTGACGTAATAGATGATTTGTTATCGCGTGGTATAATTAAGGTTAGTACATCGCCTTATTGTGCAAGGGTCGTTCCGGTGCGAAAACGTAATGGACAGTTGCGACTTTGTGTGGACTTAAGGCCACTTAATGAACGAGTAGTGAAACAAAAATATCCATTTCCGTTAATCGAAGACTGTCTCGCCCGTTTGGGAGACAAGAAAATTTATTCACTGCTTGACCTAAAAGACGGTTTCCATAACATTGACATTCACCCGGATCATACTAAATTCTTTTCGTTCGCGACTCCAGACGGCCAGTATGAGTATCTAAAATTACCATTCGGTTACTCAGAGGCTCCGGCCGAATTCCAGAAACGACTTATTCAGATTCTACAACCACTGATCCGCCAAGATAAATTGTTGGTTTATATAGACGATATTTTGATACCATCTGTCTCCATTGAGGAAAATCTAGAAACGTTACGTCAGACTTTGATTCTACTAAAGCAACACTCCTTTGCTTTGAACTATTCGAAATGTCAATTTCTAAAAACTAAAGTGGAATATTTGGGTTACATTCTTTCTGATACAGGAATTACACTTAGCGAACGGCACGTCGACGCCGTTAAGAGATTCCCGATCCCAACTAATATCCATGAATTACAAAGATTTCTTGGTCTAGTTAGCTTTTTCCGTCGCTTTGTGTGCAATTTTGCCGCAATAGCCAAACCTCTCTATATGTTACTTAGAAAGTCAACTACTTTTGAATTTAATGATCAGTGCTTAAAAGCCTTCAACGAATTGAAAGCCGCGTTGGTTTCATTTCCGGTCCTTCGATTATATAATCCAAAATCATATACAGAATTGCATACTGATGCAAGTGCTTCTGCGGTTGCCGCGATTCTCCTTCAGAAACAGGAATCAGGTGTGTTGGCCCCCATAGCCTACTACAGTCAGGCGACTAACGAAGCTGAAAGCAAGTATCACTCGTTCGAATTAGAAATGCTCGCTGTAGTTAAGGCGGTTGAGCGTTTCCATATTTATTTATATGGTTTAGATTTTACTGTGGTCACGGATTGTCATGCGGTTGTGTTTGCGATCAATAAAGCAAACCTGAATCCGCGTATTGCTCGGTGGACGTTGCGTCTGCAGAATTACAAATTTAAAATTGTCCACAGGAAAGGCGAACGAATGGCGAACGAATGGCCCATGTAGATGCCCTTAGTAGGGTAGTGGCTTCTGTAAATTCTATATCTCTCGAAAAAGAATTGCAATTACGCCAACTTTCCGATGCTCATATTCAAACCATCGCTGAATTTTTAGAGAAAAATGACCATGATAAATATGAGATTTTCGATGGTCTTATCTACCGTAAATGTTCAGACAAACTAAGATCGGAAGAGCACACGT